CCGCTGTGTCTCTGCCTCTGTGTGCACACTGGCTTGGAGAGTACATACCTCCACCAGGGTTGATTCTCCACTTTATCACTATATTGCATGTATTTAAAAAGTGAAAAATAAATCAGATCTGCACGTTTATTATGGTTTGTTGTGGCTATTTCAGATGCATAAAGATTAAAGTCATTGCTGGTCATTCTGCGGTTTTGTTCAACATCTGCAGATGGATTCACAGCATGAGATGCAAGAATGAGCACAGGGGTAAGGTGATATAATTGTTATACACCTACTAGAGGTGCTGAGAAATTTCTGTGTTATTACTTCTTCCACTAAGAAATGCTGGAAAGGTTTTATTCTACACAATATATATCGATACGTTCATATTCCAGTTTTTGACTGTTTTCCACAGAAGTCAACAACATCAACACCTAGACACTTCTTTAAAAAGCGTAAATGGTTTGAAATATTTCCAGACTAACCTGTTAAGGAAGTTTTGACCATCCTCACACATTACATCTGTACACCATTATGAGAATAGGGCCTGTCTGATTCCACACATACTCCCTGCTCTCCAGGCAGTACCCAAGGTCAGGTTATGGTTAACAGTACATTGTTGAAGGACTTTCATATCTAATTCAGATGCCTCAGACAGAGAGGCACCAATCCAACTCTTTTGTGCATATTACACCAGCCAGGGCAGAGGAAAGAGGTGAGGCTGACAGTAAACACAGAGACAGAGCTGTTATTATTGTTAAGTTTTTTATTCATTCCTTACATGTGGTATTATCGAATCATTCCTTTATCAAAGCCTCCCTCTCTGAAACAATTGAGATGGAAATCGTTTTATTAGGTTTGATTTATCAACCCCACATCAACCCTTCTCACGTCAGACATTTTGAATGTTTGACAGCACAGGTGGAACAAGTCCAATTAACGACGGCTGCATTCCATTTAGGTGAGCCATTCCCAGGCCTCTGTCTGTCACTGTGCATTCCCACTCCGCGACATGGTTTACTGGTCCGCTTAATGGAAGCCGCCATTATTAATGTTGTTACTCACACCTGTGCTTCGACCAGTCAAAATGTCTGACGTGGAAAAGGGTCTATCTGCGTTCGCAGGCACGCTGCAAAGCATCCTGTCAGCTTTTAATCAGCACCGCATCGTCATACAAGAAAGGGCACGACCATCAGGACTCTGCCTAATGGCATATAAAGTGGTTTAAGTTGATTAGTGTTCTCTTCCCATAACGACTGCATTCTGCGATTAGGTTTTATGTATTTACAGATTTTAACCGCCACTCATCGGTGAACTGCCTCCACAGCAAAGAGAACATTTTCTAGTGATAATTTTATAATCGATAATTACTTTGTGGTAGTGGGGTATGATCAGTGAACAGAGGCATCTGTTACATTCTTGTATGTTGGAGAGTGATCACACTATTTAATTTTAGTATTAACTTTGTAAGAAAGTGAAAATTATATGTATGATTTTAACCTTGGTTTTACTTTAACTATGCATGTGTCACGTATTGTATTGACATGGTTTTGTGTTTCCTAATCCAATTTTAACATTTGGTTTTCATGTGTTTTTTTACGTGTATTGTATCGTGGGTGTTTAGAAAGGCACCAAGTAATAAAATGTATCAATTATTATGAATAATTATTATTATAATGACTAATATTGTGGCTCATTTAGCCTAAATTACTATACTATTTTCAATATTTTATTTTATTGTGTTTAGTTACTTGATTATAGTTATTGTGTATTTATAATTCATTTTGTCATTATTTTTTTTAACTATATATTTATTGAGTTTTTGCATATATGAAACATGCAAACATTTATAAACATACGTTTATGAACACCCCCCAACCCACAATCAAACACTCAGGGTAAAGACGGATATTAAATAAAATTAAATACAATAATAAAAAAAAATATATAGAAATATATAAGAATAAATTAAAGTAAATGCAAATATAAATATAAATATACAAATACAAATAAATTAAATTAAATAAAAATCAAAAGCCTAGATAAAATGACGCTCTCTCATTAATAATATTAGTTATAACAATTCATATTAATCTTATTAGGTGCTGCTATTTTATTCCGTTTCACTCATTCATTTCCACTTGGTCACTTTCCAAAAATTGCATGAAGGTGTCCCATATTTCCTTTAATTTACAGTTTTTTCCTCTGACCATATATGTTAATTTCTCCAAGGCAAGGCAAGAAGCCATTTCCTGTAGCCACATTGCAGTTGTAGGACTGTCCATACTTTTTCATCTCAAAGCAATCACTCTCCTGACTTGAAGCATACACAGGTTGATCAAAGGTGCTGTTTTGCGGCTTGGTACAAAGTGATTAGGATAGATAGCTAATATACAGAACTTTGCCTCAAGAGGGACCTCTATGGCAGCTATACATGAGACCAGGATAACTGTATTCTTCCAAAACAACTGAATTTTTGGGCACTCCCAACATTAACATTGCATTTAGGTCAATTATCAGGAATGTCAGGGTTAAACTGACTAAGTTTCACAGGTGTGACATATGTATAGAACAACCATTTTTACTGTAAGTTTCAATGCTGTGTTAATAGTCTGAAACGCGTCTTACCAATGTCACACCATAACCGGAAGTTCATTTTGTCATTATTGTTTCTATTTTTTGTAATAAACTATTCTGGACATTGGAGTTGATGACCACTGACCTTGACTGTGTAGAGTAAGTCATTGAATATGCAGAGAGAAGAGAGAGTGACACATCATGTTAATGACAAGTCACACACGTTGATCTTAAAGCCAGTATCACAGGAGCAAGACTCCAGTCATTTATAAATACTCTACATTGTTTGCAGTGAGAAAAAAGGCTCAAAATGATGACCAACACATAAGGAATCATTAAGGCCAACAATTCTAAACATGGGTATTGATTATTTACAGCTTGGGATGCCGACAAATTATTTTCAGTCCTTAGATACAATTGTTGAGCACAAACAGGGAACACTGATCTACTTACTCTGTGCATGGATCTGCAATATGCAAATGCTCAGCTTAGACGCTCAGCTTCTGTGTGGTAAATAAACTTAGTGGGAAGAGTTGCTGTGGTACAAAATTGACATGAGAGTCAGCAGCAGCAGCAAAATATTTAATGACAAAGTTACTGGATGACAGCAGCAGGGAGTGTGGCACACGTCTGATGTCTTTTCCCCCCACAAGCTTGTCCTTTTGTAAGTTTTTTGCAGGAGCAAGCAGAGCTGGCATGAGGATGTCCCCTGAGACCCAGGATGGATTACTGAACGGGCAAAACGGGCACAGACCCAGGCACCTGAGAGGTCAGGGGGCTCTTGGCCCGAGCCTCTGTTAGAATTTCTTGTTGACAACTTAGAGACGTAAAGCAACACACAAAAACAGACAGAGAACATCCACCAAATAACACAATGATCACAAAGACACAGAAAACAACTTCAAAGAGACACAAAATAACCACAAAGAGACACAATAATGGGAAATTACTTTTAGATGATTATGCCCAATCGGTCTCTTTTAATTAATCCATGCCTAAAACATTCAAACTGTCATTTTACATCTCTATTAAAATGATTTTAATGTTAAAAGACAAATGGGAGCTGGGCACCTCATCATATCCAAAAGTCAATTGAACAAGAAAAAAAAACGTCCTCATTCTTCACAGGTATTTATAGTTTGCAAATTTTAAAGCCCCAACAAGGAGTTCTTAACTGGTAACGGTCTTATTTTAATATTGCTGCCACTTTATGACCCACAACAGCAAATTAGACACAAAAAAGGCTTTTTCTATAAACTATTCTCAATGTTGATTGAATGTTGTTCCATTTCCATTTGCCCACAATAGGAGGAGGAGGAAGAATGTATTTCTTGTACCTGTACAAATGTATTAAATACTCAGTGATAATGTTAAAACGGTTCTAATATTGCTAGAAGATTGTCTTCAATGACAAATGGGTCCATATATGAATATTTTGGAGTATTTTGATCTTCGAAACCCCTCCCCCTGTTGGGCTTTGTTTGCATTTGGAGCAGAGAGAGACAGTGATCTGAGAAGAGGATGTAAACAGATGCACTCCTTGTTTTGTGTTTTGTCAATAGAGTAAGTAAGTAAAACAATCTGAAGAGAACTGCAGGGTCACATTGTTTTTTTGGTGTGTGTCCTGAACTCACTACATGTTTGTCTGTTTTTCAGTACTTCAAAAACAGATGCACATGCTGCCTGGACCGAGGTTTTAACGGACCCACCTGCTTTTGTCCACAGAAGCGCCAAAACCAACAAAGATGAAAAGTTCCTCTAGGAACCCTTAATAATAACCTGACAGACAGTTAGTTATGTTAGTAAGTAGCTTTACAAATAAGTCAAATTATTATATTGTGTGTGATGGTACTTAAAAACATGAACTGATGCTGAAACTCAATGACTTTTCTAATAACACTTTATAATGTGTATCTAATCAGTTTTATTTGAGTGCAACAACATACTCAATGAAGTGAATATCATGTAACTGTGACAGCCAATAGGTTGTTAGCCATTGAGGACATTTTCATTTAGCATGCTGCAGCTTCATTGATGTTTCTACAAAACATCAACGTGAGGTATATTTACAAGGTCGAGTCTGGGTGCACTGCCACCGTTGCTGTAGTTCAAACATCATCTCCGTTACCTCTCAACAACGTAGAAAGTTATAGAATAGAGTGTTAAAATGCATACCTCCCAGCCAAACAGTCTCAATCCAATCAAACTGCACCAAATTTGGCACACTTATATGCATAGAACATACTGTAGGCCTGATTTTTTTCTTCATCAAGATCAATTAATTACCTTGGGATATGAGTTAAGTTTTTAATGTCAGATATAGTTGTTTTTCAAAGTTAAAAATGTCACGAATATTAAATCATATTCATATACACAGTGTTTACTCAAATGAAGCATTTATTCAAATCAACATTTGAACATTTTATATTCTCTTTCTGGCGCACACACACACTAATGCATTAATAATTCATTTGTCACAGTTCACACAGGAACATGACAACCAGGGGTGCTCCCGTATCTGCTCCAGTGTTGCACGTTTGTCAGAATGTGGAGCCAGACACATGTTCAGCAGATCCTGGCACTCTGAGAAGAGAGACAATGAAAGAGAAAGGAAAGATTAGTCTGGAATCTGCATTGATATACTGCAACATGGAAGGAACACTATAACTGCACACTATTAATACCAAAACACAGCTACTGTGATTTTACCTTGGGACAGCTCATTGCTGATTTTCACCTCACTGCGGATGAAGGCTCTGGTGTCAAAYTCTAYGCTTCCATCCAACAACTCAAACAGCACCGCACCCAACTGCCAGACTGTGGTGGGGACGGCCTCGTAACTGTTAGTTGAAAAAAACTCTGGAGGAGCAWACRCACTGGTTCCTGTATGCAAAATAGAAGTAGATTGAAAGAAACAAAGGATAACGGAACAGGCGAAGTTTTCAATGAACGTCAGGAACAGAACCGTACCAGARWASGAGTGGTAAGGGCCGTCTTKTGCATAGCAGCCACATCCAAAGTCTATGATCCGCACTCGAGGACCATCAGAAGTGGTTTGGATCAGGATGTTTTCCAGTTTGAGGTCCCGATGGAACGTTTTCATGGCGTGCATGTCTATGGCTGCCTCCACCAGCTGCTTCATGATGATCTGAAACAGAAATACAGAGACACAGATGAGTTAGAGTGGTGAAGAAGGGACTGAAGTTACACTGATTATTSTCAAAGTAGCAGCTTTTCATCAAACAGGCTTGATGGAGTAACAGTCCTGGAGCTTTCCACCAGAGCTCAATGCTCAGAAACTAGTGTTTAAAGAACTTTTGTTGAAATWGATTTTTGATCTAGTTTTGGTTGGAGCCAAATTAAATGTATTCAAAGTGATGACAGGTTCAGAAGTAGTCTAGTGCAGCTTAAAAAATGTCTGACACACTCAAACAGCTTCAGTACCTTTGCCTTGTGCTCGTCCAGTTGACCACAGTTGTCCTCTACGTAGTCAACCAGGTCGACACAGGGGACCGGTCTTTCCATGACCAGGAAAACCTGCTCGCCCAGATCGTACCAATCTAATAACTGTACGACTGCAGATTTGCCTACGAAGCCTGCTGGACCTCCTGCTCCCACCATGATGAGCACCTCAAAGGGGATTTTATGTTCCTGCCCCTCGAAGACCTGATGGAAAACAATACACAATATAAGTGTTTCTGTTACTGTGGCTGTGTGTTTTCCTCATCAACAGTACAAAAACAAAACAAAAATAAAATGATTAATCTGATCAAGTTACTCACAAATGGTACAAACTTCACAKTATCTTTTGGGATGCATTTGATCGCAACCTGTAAGACAGAATCATATATCAGTACAATTATATCCAGTCAGCGATAAAATATCGTATGTCCATCTTAACTGGCCTGCCTGTAAATGGGACGCACACTTTTTTGGTGAAAAGCTCTAAAGGCTGAGCCACGGTGCACAATGCCCGGCTAGACGCACAGGAGTGAGCGAGCGAGCGAGCGCTCCTCCCCACTCCACTTACTCACTAATTTGATGATATAAAATTATTTTTCTAGTGTTCCAGAGATCCCAGTGCCTGCTCCGTAAAGTTCACCCACAAACTTTACTTTGTGATGAAGATGAACAAAAACCCACACCTTCACTCCATCAGCCACTTTCCACAGCACAGAACCTAACYCCAAACATTAATGAACTGGCAGCCAATAAAAGATGCCAAACATCTGGTTCTGGCACATGTACATAARAGAMGAATGTAGCCTACCTAAATATGTTTTCTTTTTGCACTTTATCCAATATCCTGTTTATCCTGTTTAATAAATGTTGACGATGTTTGGTCCTCAACATAGTCCCAGTTTTTAATTTTGGCCCT